GCCCCCCCCTCCCCACTCCCCTCTCTGCCAGCCTGCTTTCACACCCCAACACCTTCCCCTCCTCACCTCCCCTCTATGATTCGCCACTAGAGAAAGTGTCACATTTCGTTCCCCACTGCTTCATCATGTGTGCACTCTGCCACCTCCATGTCTTTCACCGATCTCTACATCTCTCTGTCTCTGTCTGTTCTGTTTCTTCGATTGCTCTCACTTATTAACCCACTTGTCAGGGGTAAGAGGTTTTTTTTTTTTTTTTTTTTGAATCTCAGTGCTCCTCGACTTCACACCGAGCCCTACGTTATACTCGGCTTCAATCAGGAGTTGGTTTTAGTGTCTCGACCGTTTGGTTTCATGGCGAGCATCAGGGCTGCTGACGCTGTTTGTTTTATCATCCTCTCCAATATTAGAAATGTAATGATGGTAAAAAAAAAAAAAAAAAAAAAAATTTGAATTAAAAAATTGACGGCAACAAAATTTACAATCAACGAAAAGCAAAGGCATTTTGTCGAATTTGACAAATTAACGCACAGCCGCTAAACATTTCAGGACGTTAACAGTTTAGTTACTTTAGTTACTTTAGTTACTTTAGTTACTTTCAGTGGTTAATGTGATAAAATCATATTTTAAGGTACATTGTAGAAATTAGCTTTTTTTTTAACTTTATATAAATTATATATAATAAACTTTGAACCTTATTCTTAGTGCATATAGAATAACTTAGTTTTCATGAGTTGTTATTGACGACACGAACGACGTTTAATGTGTCAAATACTGGGAAAAAAATATGTCCATTACGACTAATTGAACAGTCATCGTGGAAAAAACCTTAACTTTTTTTCAGTTGGATTTGGGTTTTACAATTGGGAATTACAAAATTTGTAATTTATAGTTCCATTTTCATCCAATTATAATTGGATATCTATCCTCTGTCTATAGATAGATAAAGATATAAGATTGATGTATAAGAAGATTTTTAAGTTTAAATCTTTTTTTTTTTTTTTTTTTGGAAAATTGTACTTTTTGAATTCCTGATTCAATCATCGGGTCTCCAGTGACTCTGTGGGAGGGAGGGTGGGGGATAGCACTCGGCGCCGTGTTCATTTGGAACTCCTCGGGAGTGTGAGGGAGGAGAGATTGGCTGGTACTGACAGGCAACAAGACTTCTGAAATAATGGCTGCGGAATAGTCACACCGCCGGTCTAAAGTGCCACACAAGTGCATATGTCATATAGTAGAGGTGGCCTCAGGAGTAGCAGCTGAAACCCGTCATGAGGCGTTAAGAGTCACTGAGGCATTACCTTGTGCCGAACCCTTCATCAGCCTGATTCTGTCACTGACCTCCCCCCCTGTTTGTCACTCGCCGCTGCCTCTCTCATCTTCGCCTGACCCCCCGGGTGCCACTCGGTGCGGCCGCGTGCACCCAGCTCAGCCATAGGCAGTGGAGTGTGATGGTCAGGGACTGTCAAAATAGGTGTCACGTTGACCGCAGAGTGCTCTGGTCACTGCGGAACACTGGGAGGTCAGACGAGCTTAGGTAACTTGACACATGACAGGTTATGGCAGAACAAGAAAAACAAAAGATTTTTTTTCTTTTTCCCTTTTGTTTTCAGTAGAGGTCAAAGATTAAATGCAAAGTTGAAATATATATATATATTTAGAAAGAAAAAAATCACAGTTCGAATCTTTAGCATGCAATTCATAATACAGCAGAAATGATTTTTTTTAAATCAGAATTTTTTTTTTGCCGATTTTTTTTTTAAATCAGAATTTTTTTTTTGATAATATACTTTCTTTTGAAAATAACGTAGCACTTAAAACAGCCTTAAATAAGCTCATTAAGGGTTAAAAAAAAAAGTGAATTATATGCCTAGCTTTGTAAGCCATAAATCTTTTGACCAAGAAAGACTCAGGGTGGAGATGGCGGTAAAAAAAACCCAACTTTTACCTCCTTGTAACCAACGGCCAAAGAACTAAATATTTGGCTTTTTACTTTGGGGATTTAAAGCGAGGAAAATGTTTTTGCAACTGCTTTAAGAGAGGGATGAAGCAAGGTGATTTTTGCAATTGCTTTAAGAGAGGGATGAAGCAAGGTGAGATTCTGGAAGGTTCCTTAGTTAGCAGGTCAACAGGGAACATGTTTTGGCTAGCAGGGTATGGTACAAAGGAGCAGCTAGCACATGCTTGATACATGTTAGCATAGTTGGTTGGTTGGTTGGTTGGTAAAAAATGAGATGACTTAGATAACGGTAACTGAGGAATGTTGAGCAGCTTAAATCTTTTTGAAACGCCAAAAAGTAGGCTAAAACTAAACTGACCCTTCTCCCCAAATTTGTTTTGAAATTTCTCGCAAGACTTGTAGTCTTTTTTGAATACCTGATAAAGTTGTTTGGAGGCCCCAGACGCTAGCTTCTAATGTGGTTTCAGAGAGTACACCTTCATGGAAGTTTGTGCTCTTAGTGCGTGCAGTAAAAATAATAAATGTGTCCCCCATTCGTCACACAATGGGGGACATTTACCGTGCGTCTTTGCAACTGACGCAGGAAGCGCTATTAAGTACGTGGTTGCAACTCGCAGGTTGCCGCACGGGAGGCACCATTAGGGCTTTGTGGTTCCTCTGGGAATCAAACCCAGGACTCTCTGCTCCCAAGGCATGCGTGCTAAACACTGCACTATGGAACCTCATGAGAACCACATGGGAGAAGGATATAAAAAAAAAACCAAATCTGTAACAACAATGCCCATTTCAATGTACGACATTACCGTTCATTTCATTCTATTTACTCTTTTTTTGTTTGTTTTTGTTATTTGGCCATCATTCACCCTCAACACCGTCAACGTCACCGTTTCTCTCTCTTTTTCCCCACACTTCTGTCTGTCGACGTATGAATGACCCAGAGAACGAAGGCATGTGCAGATTAGCCTCTTTAAATACGTCGTAATTTAAAGGCAACGGTAATGCTTCGCACATATGCTTCACTGCACGATGTTTATCTTTGTGTAACGTGAACGATTCTGTATATTCTGTGTCGTCTACAGTGTCGTCACGCATCCAAACCTCACCCATTCTTTCCTCATTCTGTCTCCATAACTGTTGAAATGGTAGCATTTTTTTGTTCTTAACAGTAGGAAAACGACAGAGTGTTTAGTCGATGTTATGGTCAAGCACACGGGACCGAGGTCCGTGCTGCGAAACAACTCCAGTGGCGGGAAGTCCGCGCACTGCCCTTTATCCAGCCTGTAAGTGTGTGTGTGTGTGTCTTGTTTTTTCAGAGTGTAATTGTAATCCCTTTGGCTCAGTCAGTGATCGGTGTAATGGCACAGGATTTTGTATATGTAAGGAGGGCACTACGGGGCCCAAGTGTCAGCAGTGTCTACCAGGATATTTGTGGGACGATGGCTGCAAATGTAAGTAGAACTGCACTATAATCTCACCCGCAACGGGTTTTTTTGCCTGTCTTCCATAACATTCTTTACCGTTGTATCTCTGTCATTTTCCTTTGTTCTGTCCTTGAATTTCTTTGAATCTGGAGATATGTGTGATGCACATGTTGAAAGACTGCCGTCGCACGACACGTGTTGACCAAAACCTCTACTAACCCAATGCAATATTGTAGATTTTGTCTAACCGATTTGCATAGCTATTAGTGATGGGAGTCATCGATTCGGGAATCGATTTCTCTCACGAAGTATCAATACTACACCGCCCCAGCCTCAGTAACGTTAAAAATTGAACTGATCCGAGAACACCGCAGTGACCTTAGTTGCCTTAGTTGCCATTGTTTAAAAATGAAGTCATGTTATTTGTTATATCGCTATTATAATATAATAGTATCGCAAATTGCGGGAGAAAAAAAAAATCGCCATCGTATCAAATGGAAAGTTCTGCTATCCCCCATCACTAATTGCTATCTGTATGTGCAGTTGCCCTTCACACCCAAAGATGAAAACCCATGGCCTTAATGAATGCATGCTGCTCAGTAACAGAGTTATTCTGCTATGCTGCGTATTAGCATCCCGACAGCTGAATCAATATTGACCACTGGGCAGGCTGCATGTTGTTCTGTCTGAATAACCGTCGCCCCCTTTTGCTAGTTCAAAACAGGAAAATGCCTGTTTGTCTTTCTGTTCCAATATTATGCCAGGAAACAATATACTAGTAGGATTTTTTTTCTCTCTCTCTAATCATGATAAATTGTGTATAATCCACAGCTATCCTGGGGATTATCAGAAACAAAATATTTATCATTCGAAAGCCCTACAGAACAGAAAGGCGTCACTGGTTTTCGCAAGCGTAAACAGTACTAAGATGTTCAGTAGGCCTCTGCGCCAGTTGCTACTGATTGGACGTTTGAAGAAATTTGACTTTGGCAAGAGTTAAAAACGAAGTCGTTTCGTGTTGGGTTCTCAGGATTTGACACCGAAATGTTTCCAGCTCCACTGAGGCTTACCTTGGGGGAGGGATGACCACGTTCTCTTCAACCGTCGCAAGAGTTACCTTAGAGGGATGACCACGTTCTCTTCAACCGTGGAATTCTCCAAATGTCATTGTTTTCCCCCCAAGTTCTACAGTAGCTTAAAAATATTTCTTCGACAGGAAAATATCTGAAAGAATACTGCTTAGATTGCTGTCACACGAAAAAACTAAGTGGGACTCCCATCAGCATGCAAAACGGAAGAATGCAATTAAAACTCTGAATTCTCATCAAACACGTCACGTCCCAGGGAGGCACACCTAGTTCACTGTGCCCCTCTCTAAATATTATCACTCATATCAAAAGCAAACGCAACAAATCTTGTCATTTGCTGCTCCCGCAGGCGTCTGTTTGAAGGTTCATGTGAGGTAAAGGTGCAGAATTCCCGGGAAAAAAAAAGTATTAATACTCCGAGTGCCGTTTTCAGATTTGACAAACCAGGAGACTCTACTCTGGCCCTGAAAATAAATGTACAAGAAACAGATCATTACCCATCATGCCCCGTGCTGCTATTTTTATCCTTGTTGTTTCAAAGTACAGCAGTACGTCGAATGTTAGCGACGTTAGCGGGACATTTTGTTCAAACTGCTTTGCATTAAACAACATTTTTATTACGGCCTCCAAAACGTTTAAATGTATGAGCACAAAAATCTGACCTTCTTTTCAGTCTTCGCAACTTCGGAAAGATTACATTTACTGTCGCTAAGGGCGATCTGATCGCAGGTGGACAACTCTTTCCAGCAGGGTTTCCTTTTTTTTCCTTATCTCGCTCCCCTCGACAAATTTCTTTCCCTTTTTTTTTTTCAAGAGATGTCCGATATTATCGGCCCGATGTTAGCATAATGGCGCAGTATTGCTAGGAATGGTTATCGATATCGATAATGCAATACCTGATTTGCTAGATATGCTAACTTATTTGGTACAGACAATGCTAATTTGTGGGATGCCTTTAATGGGGTATCCCAACAAAGTCAGGTAATGTGTTCATTCCATGACAAGATATATGCGATGTGACCTAAAAATAGTTTTGGGGAAAAACGGCTTTTTTACTTTTTTTAATGAAAAAAATACAGGGATATGTCTGGATTCTTTTTGAATGCTTGGATATCGCATATCCCTACTTTTTTTAAATTTTTTTTTTATACATTTTTTAATGGAAAAGTTAAGAGGTATGTCTGGATTCTTTCTGAATGAAGTCAATTAGTAAAACTGAAGTACATTTTTTAACTGTCCCACTGCGGCCCACTACCAAATGACCTACGGACCGGGGGTTGGGGACCCCTGGTTTAGACCACTACAGTCACATCTGGTTGATTTTTACTGTTGTCTAGGAGGATGTTTCAACATGGCAAATGTTTGGTCTTTATACACAAAACATGTATTCGGCATTTAGTCTGTATATATATATATATATATATATATATCTGTGCTTGTAGTTGTAGTTACTGGATATAAAAAGAACCTGCAGAGAGCCCGACACTGTTGTTCCAGGGGAACAGACGAGGCGTGAATAGGATTCACAGACTCAATGTTTCTTAACGAGACTCCCATCAAAGCCCCATTTGGCTACTCCTGGGAGACGGCATGCATCCAAGTCGGAGTATTAGGAGAGAGGGCGGATATTTGTTGCCGTGATATTTACGTCCCATAGAGTTCATAGATTGCTCACCGCATTGTTCTCCGCTCCCATAAAGGACTGAAATGGGCAGAAGTGGCCTCTGTGTTTATCACTGTTTATTTGTCTCTGCTGGTTATTAGTTTGTGCAGCCCTGTTTTGTTTGCCTCCAGCTTGCTTGACAGCTTGGCTCCACTGGGAATAAAGTAGCCTCAGTGTCCCGGCACTAAATATATACCAATTTTCACCTGACGTCCCGTTTGTCTAAAGTCAAGGCTGTTTACGGGGGGGAAAGGCTCTGAGGAGAGAGTAGTAGACTCCTGAATCCTCGTGTTATTAAGGGTTTGTCAGAAATATATATATATATAAAAAAAATAGAGGGACAGAATTTTTTAACCTTGTTATTTATCAATAATAATTATTATTATTTTATGTTTTTATTGCTGTTATTATGACTTTATTATTGTGGTCATTTTTTTTTCACCTTGCCAAAAAGGCAAACATATATATATATATTTGTTTATATATATTTGTTTATATTTGTTGATATGGCATCACACAAAAACATTAATGGATATAAATTGGAATTTGAGTGTCCTTTGGCCTGAATGTTGTTTCTTTTTTTTTTACAACACAATTTTCTTTCATTTCACAAACAAAATGAAGGATTCATATGTTTACATAATATATAATATATGTATTTCAGAATTTCAGAGTCTAAAGTGCTGCTTGTATACTTTTGTTGCTTTATAGGTGTTAAAACCTTCGTATTTCCTTTTTCCCACTCTTTATCATTTACCTTTTCTTCTTATATATGTATATATTTATATATGTATATATGAATGGTAGTCTTTCTAGACTTGACAGGAAACGTAGTTGCATTTCTGTTAAAAAAAATAATAATTGTGAGTGAAAATCTGTGAGTGAACTTCCAGTGCATGCGACTGTTCCACGTCTTCCCCAAAAAAAAAAACGTTTTTGTCCCAAATTAAGTTCAAGTCCGACGCATCATTGAAGCTGCCTTTGCTGACCGTCTATGCAATTGTCTCTTACCCATGTTTCCTGTCTTTGCACCGCTCTTGCCGCAGCCCGGGTGTGTGACAACGAGCTCATGCGATGCCAAAACGGCGGGGTGTGTGTCAACAACGTCCGCTGCAGCTGTCCCTCACCCTACACGGGCCTGCTCTGCGAGAAGCCCCGCTGTGAGTCGGAGTTGGGCGGGTGCAGGGGTGCCGACTCAGGCCAGGCCTCCCTGTCGTCCCCGTGGTCCCTCGGGCAGTTGGTGCTGCTAATGTCAGTCTGGATGCTGCTGAGAGGAGACTCCTGCTGGCCTGACATGCTCTAAACAGACCTATGACCTGGTCGGAGCGAAACAGTCTCGACCCCGTTCGACGAAAAAACAAAACAAAACCCGACCCATCTCTCTTCCCCCATTTAAATAATCATAACCCATCAGAGAAAATGTATGAGCTTTCTGGACTGTATCGAGCTTCTCAGCCACCCGACTCGGCGGCGGAATTCTCCCGCCGGAAAAAAAGGAATGTGCCAGATGAATAAACACTTTACATTTAAATAAGATTATAATATAGAAAGATATATACATATACTTCTAAAAATGACCGAATATTATATTAAAAAGAAAGAGAAAACACAGCGTTTATCTTTAACAAAAAAAAAAGAAAATGAGCTACGACCCATTAGCCGGCCCCGCCCCAACTCCATCCCCATCCCTCTAAGCCATACCTGGTTCTTGAGCTCCTTCCGCTTTGAGGAGGGGGGTTAACAGAGATGACGAACTTCTTTCTTCAGTTTCTCTCTCATTGCCACGGCAACGAGAGCTGCAACCAATTAGCTTCAGCACACGCCGACTGTGGCCCATCGATCCCCTTGGGGACGCTTCTGTGAGGGGGAATGTTGGTCGGACTGAAGCCCAAACTCCATC